CCTCCATCAGACTATCTCTTGAAAACTCCAGCACCAACATCTCCTTTTTAGACACTATGATCTATATCCAGAAGGTTAAAATACAAACCACTATATACAAGAAACCCACAGACCAACACACATCTGCACAGAACCAGCAGTCACCCTAAACACACCAAGAAAGCTGTAATATATGGCCAAGGCTCCAATACCACCAAATTTGCAGTGGGGAACACTCATGATCATCACCTCAAATCTCAAACAGGTCTTCACTCAACAAGGACACTCCTCCAGAGACATAGATCGCACTTTTGAAAGAGCCACCCAGATACCACTTAAATATTTGTGTAAGTACAAAAAGAAAAGCCCCACAAATTGCACAACATTAGTTATGACATATCCTTCCCTGGAACCCATGAGGAAAATCCTCAAACAACTGCAACCCATACTAGAAGACAACCCAATTCTTAGAGATCTTCCCAGAACCACCCATCCTAGCCTTTAAACCAGGGGCAGGCAATTATTTTGGGCAGAGGGCCGCTTACTGAGTTTTGGCAAGCCATTAAGGGCCACATGACAGGCAGCCCAGGGCAGATGGATATTAATTTTTTAGGGGCCCTGCGGGCTGGATAGAATGGCCAGGCAGGCCACATCCAGCCCCCAGGCCGCATTTTGCCGACCCCTGCAAACAAGCACTGAACCTTGCCAATATCATCACCAGAAGTCAACTTTCTGTGGCCCCAAACACACAAAATGGATCCAGAACATGCTGGGACAAAAAATGTAAAACCTGCCAACACATCTCCACCACTCCACAATAACTACACCCCACAATAGAAGCATCACCATTCCTAGATTTTATACCTGCACCTCCAGAAATGTAATGCATCTCATCCAGTGCACCAAATGCCCTGATGGAAAAATGTAGGAGAAACCAAACAACAAATGCGCACCAGAATGAACGCATGCTGAAAATCTCTCAAAGACAAAAAATACCCAATTACCAGTGGGTGCACACTTCTCACAAGACAGCTGCTTTCTCTCAAATCTCAGTTCTGATCCTCAAAAGGGAATTTACAAAACACCTTTTGTAGATAAGCCTACAAACTTCATTTCATAAATCTAGTGGATACAAAAAGTCATGGACTAAATATAGACATTGGATTTATGGCACATTATAACCTGCCTGCCATCCAATAATCCCAGGTAACCACTGCATTCTCACAGACCTGCATTTTGCATATTGGCTTCTGTTCCACCCAGAAGAGCACAAAACAACAGTAGACTCTTCCTATGCCTGAAGAAGGGTGTTTGTGCCTGGAAGCTTGCAAAGAACAATTTTTCCAATTATTTAGTTGGTCTAACAAAAGATACCACATTTACCCAAAGAATCTTGTCTGCCCATGTCCTTAGACCAACATGGCTACAACCAACTGCCCCTACCAAAGAGTTTACAGTGCAAGTACAAGAAAAAGCACATAAGCTCCAGCAGTGGATAAAACAAGCAGATGGGGCAGCAGGGAGTGACAATGAGACAATTATAATCATTGTATTGAAAGTGGTCACATATGTCTCATGTCATGGATGGACATTTTTATACATACCCTGCAGTTTATTTACCCTTTTAGGTTAAATAAAAATAAGTTGAAGTGCTTCCAATAAACCTTGTCAATATTACATTATTGTTGAGCTTTCACATGCACAACAGGCAGGAAATTTAATCTTGGTTCTTACAGTGACAGTAACTTGCTATGTAGACTAATGCAAAATGCTGTACACATAGAAGAACAAGTTGTCAGAATCATGACCTAATAAACTCAGCCACACAGCACATTTGTGTTATAGTTATTGTGAGGATTCTCCATGCGTGTTTAAATTCTTGGTCTGGACACCCACTCATATCAATGTTAATGTTGAATTTTATTGATTTTTTTAGATAATTTTTTTTTTTAAAAGAGAAAATTAAATAAAAAAGATCCAACTTGATCAAGCTGTCTTAGCAATAAACCACTGTACAACTCCAGATACAATACGTGTATGTCTGCTGCACTGCACACACACATTTAAATGTCAGGGCACTTAAATGACTGCAGTGGTATGTGAATATTTTTGGAGCTCTCTGCCTTCATATGCAATAACGGTACGTTAAAATAAATGGACTAAATCCATCCGTGGTATAAATCCATTGAATTAGTCTTTGGCATTACACATTTAGCCCATTGTATATTTTTATATCCTTCTAGTTAAAAAACATGTAACATAGGATATCAATATTAACCTGGATAGAATAACTGTAGTTATAGAGGAGTTCAGTCTCCAATGACCTTTCCAACCCTAAGGTTCTCGGTTGCGGTTGCCATTTAGTGACAGAGGATGAGGAAAAGGCTGAAGTGCTCAATGACTTTACCTTGGCTTTCACAGGCAAGGTCAGCTCCCAGACTACTGCACCAGGCAGCACAGTTTGGGGAGGAGGCAAGCAGCCCTCAGTGGAAAGAACAGGTTAGGGACCATTTAGAAAAGCTGGACATGTACAAGTCCATGGGGCCAGATGTGATGCACCCAAGGGTGCTGAGGGTGTTGGCCGATGTGATTGCAGAGCTGGTGGCCTTCATCTTTGACAACTCACGGTGATCAGGGGATATCCTGGATGCTTAGAAAAGGGCAAATATATAGTGTCCATTTTAAGAATGGGAGGAAGGAAGATCCAGGGAACTACAGACAAGTCAGCCTCACCTCAGTCCCCAGAAAAAACATGGAGTGGATAGAAAGCTGGCTGTTGGGTTCAGTGGGTAGTAGTCAATGGCTCAATGTCTAGCTGGTAGCCAGCATCAAGCGGAGTGTCCCAGGACTTGGTCCTGTAGCTGGTTTTGTTCAATATCTTCATTAATGATTTGGAAGATGGGATGGATTGTACCCTCAGCGAGTTCGCAGATAACAACAACACTAGAGGGTATGGCTAGGATTCAGAGTGACCTAGACAAATTGGAGGGCTGAGCCAAAAGAAATCTCTGGAGGTTCAATAAGGACAAGTGCAAAGTCTTGCACTTACTATGGAAGAATCCCAAGCACTGCTACCGCCTGGGGACTGACTGGCTAAGCACAGCAGCTCTGCAAAAGGAGCAGAGGGTTACAGTGGACAATAAGAGGGATAAGTCAGCAGTGTGCCCTTGTTGCCAATAAGGCTAACAGCATACTGGGCTGCATTAGTAGGAGTGTTGCCAACAGATCAAAGGAAGTAATTATTTTGCTCTATTCTGCACTAGTGAAGCCACATCTGGAGTAGTGTGTCCAGTTTTGGGCCCTTGTAACAGGGGGCCCACTTGGGCCATTCTCAGAGTGGCCCACCCACCTGTTCCTGGGCTAACCACCCGCATTCTCGCCCACCATGCCTTGATCTTAATTAATTAATGGATGTTAATTAGCAGGAGGCTGTCCATTTACTGCCACAATGCCAGGGGGCACCATCTGCAGCTCCATTCCTCCCCTACACTGCAGCCCAAGCCTCGCAGATGGCATCTAGGTGTTCTCATTATCACTGGCCCCACACTGGACCCCAGACTTCTCTAATCAGGACCCCTCCAAGATCCCTTCATTCAGGCAGCCTACCCTGCCTTCATTCAGCTACCAAGCTCTCTGAAACTATTTTTCCCCTCTCGGGTGTAGTCCCCCGGGACCTTTGGCTACCAGCCCTGGCCCACCTCCAGGCCAGTCAGGAGGTCAGGCCCTCAGCTCTTGGGTATCCCTCATGGTGGGCCCCTGGCCCTTTTGACCATCCTGGTCCTGGCCCCAGCATGGACCAGTCAAGGGTACTCTCTTGATCAGGTCCAAGTCTCTAGCCCCTCTCTTTCTCTCCTGGGGTCTGCCCTCCAGGCTCTACAAACAGAGGGGTTACCCACCCAGTAGTGGAGGCTAGAAGTTAAGGCACCCCAACCCACCTTTCACCAGGGTGATCACTGGCCTGGCATTTCTTGGGGGCTCCTGCACTACTGAGAGCCCCACCAAGCCACCCACTCCCAACAGGGTGCAGTTTTAGGTCATGCCCAGGACCAGGAGCCTCCTATCCTTCCCCTACAGCTCCTCCCTTACCTTCAGATGATATCAGCAGCCCTCTGGCTAGGCAGTATTGTTGACTAGCCTCTAGGCAGAGGAACTGCGCTGTTTATATGGGCAGCCCCTAATCCCCAAATGGCTGCCTTCATCAGGCACCTGCCAGCTGCCAGCTCCAGGGCTTTAAAGTGGCAGGCACACACACTGCCCTGGCACAGCCCCCCACTATACAAAGGATGTGGACAAATTGAAGAGAGTCCAGCAGAGAGCAGTGAAAATGGTTTGGGGGTAGGGCACAAGACTTATGAGGAGAGGCTGAGGGAACTGGGTTTATTTAGCCTGCAGAAGAGAAGACTGAGGGGGTATTTGATAGCAACCTTCAACTACTTAAAGGGTGCTTCCAAAAAGGATGGAGCCAGACTGTTTTCAGTGGTGACAGGTGACAGAACAAGGAGCAATGGTCTCAAGTTGCAGCAAGGGAGGTTTAGGTTCAATATTAGGAAAAACATTCTCACTAGGAGTGTGGTGAACCACTTGAACTGGTTACCTAGAGAAGTGGTGGAATCTGCATCTTTGGAGGTTTTTTCAGAGCTTGACAAAGCCTTGGCTGGAACGATCTAGTTGGGGATGGTCCTGCTTTGACCAGGGGGTTGGACAGGATGACCCGAATTTTCTAAGATTCTATTTTTGGGGACATGGTTCCTCTGTCTACTGGTTCATTTCACATACGGCATAAAACAGCCATCAGAATGCACTAAAGTTCAGCCTCTATTGACCTAAACTGTATTCAAGCAGCAACAAGATGAGATAAAAGATATCAGTCTACTCTATTGCTAGAACTTTGTGCCTTCACTGCTTTCTCTACTTAATGTTTCTTTTCTTAATTGTTATGAACTTTATGCAGAAAAAAGAATAAAAGTACAAAGAAGAAACTTTAACACTGGTTTTAAAAATTAGTGACAACTCATTGGATTACCAGCAATTACCGGACCTCATATTTCATTGTGATTTTCAGCTGAAGTTAGAAGATAAGTTATACTGCACGTAAAGCAACACAAAAGTTCACAAGTTTTGCCACTGCAGCAAAGACAGCAAGAAGTTTATAGTATGGTCCCATGTGTCCAGTATTTTAACTACTTTAGATGAGAACCACTTGTCCTTTACAATAAAATACCCTGAGTATTGATCCAAAAGCTACACAAAGGCTAGAGAAACACAGGCTGCAACATAAGAAAAGCTTTACATTCCTCAGCCCTATGAGTTTGGAGGTCTTGGGATTTCCATAGAAAGAGGCAAGATACTCAGACCTAGGGAAAGAATGCATCTGGTAAGATAAGTGTATCCCTCTGCTTAGCAATTTCACCCAGAAAATCTGTCTGGTTCAGTATATAGCCTTAGGAAGGGGCAAATATTGGCCAGGACTTAGCAGAACTCCTCACATTCAAAACAGGAATTTATTGGCCAAATTCAGGGCATGAAAGAACAACTCTGCCCTTCACTTTTATGACTGGCAGAGCTCATGAAACAACAAAATGGGGAGCTTATGGGAAAGGGTGATCCCAATGCAATGAGCTCTGGCAAGCCCCCAGGCCCCTGTTTAGGTTCTGCTAAGCATGTGTGTAGGAAAATGATGTCTAAGCACATCACTATATATACAACACCATGGTCCTGATTCTGGTTCCAGGTTTATGCCTTCTATGAATTAAACCTGTTCATGTATCAATAGCTTTATTAGACTAACAGTAAAACAAAACTGATGTAAAAGAGCAGAAATACAGACTTCACATCTTATCTTACCAGATGTACTTTGAAGACCACAAGTTATTGCTAATGATTTGAACGTCTGCATAGATGACTGTGTGGGTACAGGACTCTTCTCTCTTTGACCCATATTCACCTAGCATTTCTAGAATTATCTCCTTGGAGGAAGCCATGTCTGCTCTTTATAACAGGAGAGAATGAGTGCCGTTAAAATAAAACTTTAAATGAAAAATATATTTGGACTTTGAAAGCATGTTTTCATTCTGCCAACTAAATGATTTTTATAGGGATTAAAAAACACATTCACTATTACATTGGACTTATCATAGTTTACATATTTATAGTTCATCTTTACAAATGATTAATTTTTTATTGTTCTAATGTTGGATAACTAATGACAGGATAGATTAGACTGCCAGATGTTCTAACTATTTAGATTCTTAAGATACCGACACTGCTCTGAAAACACCTCTTCAGTTTAGTACAAGCCCCACGATAAGGAAGGTTTACAATACTATGTTATGCTAGTTTACTTAGAAAAGTTTAAATACATATTGTGGATTTGCATATCTCAGATGAGTTTAGTGCTATGCTTGACATTCAAGAGAAAAGTGCTTTCTCTCCATTTTCAAAACAGGTGTAAACCTGGGCAAGCTCTGTTGTATTGGTCCACTAACAGGCCTCAGCTTGGATCCTGGAAGCCCCATTTCTAGGATGGAGAGGATCTTGTCTCTGTGACAAATCCTTTACTCAAATGTCTTGACCATATTAAAACTGCTGACCATCCTGGGGCCTCCAGAAATTGCAAGCAAAACATATTCACTTAGAGGGAAACTGTTACTTCCAGAGTTCTACTACTTTTTCCTACCAAGGTGGCTCAACACTAGCTATGTGTTCTAGGGATACATCACCTGCCTTTTTCCACACATGGTGCAGAGGCACAACTACATAGTTATATGTATTTAGGCTGGAGCAGAGTCTATGGAGCATCTGAAGACTTTGCATTCAGAGGCATGGCAAGCTCTTTTGCTTCTGAGCAAAGTTGGTTGTGAAGCAGGGGTAGAGGGAACGGTACAGTGCCCATGGGTGGTGTCAGGACCCAGGGGGTGAGAGCAAGAGGCTCTTGGGTCCTGACAGCTGTGGGACCTCCAGCTCCTGCAGACAGGGGAAAGAGACCAGACTGGAGCCAAGGCTGTTTTAGGGTCCTGGCAGGTCCTCTCAGCTAATGTGTTAGATCTCTCAGCTGCCCCCACAAAGGTGCTGCTGAATACCAGGGTGAGTAAAGAAATAAAATCCCTAATTCTGCAGCAAGGGTGTGCCCCTCCGCCTTCATCTCTTGCTTCTTCTTTCATGCTCAGCACTTATCTGTCAAGCACCCAAGAGCCTCCTTGACATCAATGTCCAATTCCTAGCCCGTCTCCACCAGTCCCAGCCTGCAGCTTCTGGACTAGCAGCCTAGCTGCTTCAATCCTAGCCCCACCCCCCCGCCTTGGTTCCAGCAAGCCCTACCCTAAAGCAATGCCGGGGGCTTGTGGCCTCCTTGCCCACCCCTAGTTATACTACTGCTTGCAATCTGCCCAGAATTTGCTGCATTTTCAAAAATAGTGCAGATAATTGGCTCTGGTGGTAACTGTCAAAACTACTTTGCTAAAATGGGTAGCTGCACATGAAAGCCACTTGTGTACCATATTACAGGATAACTAACTTGTCACTGCACACACTGTCTGGTGACCTTCAAAGACTATAGTGGATCTGTTCCCAGTTATAATCATTTTGGACTTGGTACCAGGATGGAAACCTTACAAGTCAGTCTTAGAAAGTTTTATAGATTGGATTTCAGCTTGCCTGAACGTCCCCCAAGGTCTGCCTTTGCTATGTTATTTCTCTTCAGAGAAGCACAAGAAAATATGCAAATTAGCTCATTTTTCCAAACTCCAGAAAATTGGGGGTTTAATCTGAACTGTGTGAAAACATTTTGGGGCTGAGTTATTATCATACATTCATAGCAAGGCAGTACCTGTAACAACAGGTTGTACTGTGGAGCTTTATTTCCCTCATTCCTAGTCATCATCACTGTCCATTATGATGAAGATGGAAAATATGGAGAATGGCTAGCAGTGGGGTAAAAAAGCAGCAAGAGAAATGCAGGCTGCCATCATGTGGGGACTTCCTCTATGACAGTCAGGCCTTTGGAGTCAACCAGTCATGCACCCTCTGGTGGTGATGAATCTTTCATTGATTAATATGGGGCCGGCAGGAGCAATTTCAGCAGTAATTTAGGCATTCTGAAAACCCCAGACTTCGAGGAGCTGCACCTGGAAGTTCTCTTCGCAGAGCGGAGGGTTGTCAAATGTCTCACAGTGCTCTGTCCTTCCATGAAGCAGGTCAGCATCAATGCACAGAGCTTGGCCTCCTCCACCTCCTGTAGAAGAATGAGAAGGATTGTTGGGGATCTGCTCTCAGGTTATTAGGTAAATAGAGGGGCTGATCTCAAAAGAATCCCAATCATCCCACTCATGTCTCAGTTCCTACTTAGTTTTATTTCTTCTTGACTGTGCTATCCAGCTGGAAGTAGAAGAGGCCTTCATCTTATCTGGTCCATTACCTTTCTATGCCAAACTGGAAGTCACTGTCTACTTCTCATGCAACAGCTTCTCAAGAGTTACCTCATGGGACAACAGACTGCAATACAGACAATATTGGAGATTGCTCAAGTAGTTGGACCTAAATTATTAAATTGGATGGAGATTTTAAAAATCTTGTTTTCACAGACATTGCACTTGACCTCAATTTCATTTCTGCATCTGATTGCTTGGGGAATGAAACAGAGGTACAGTTTGGGGAAGTTCATTCTTTCCCAACTGTAGGGCACGCTACAGGCTGAGCATTACTTTAAGATGCCCTGCTTGTGCTTTGTGTCTGCCTCTCACTGCTCCCTAGCTGCCTTTGCAGCAATAGCATCTTGCTGTTGCTAACAGCTAATGCAAATTCTCCTTTATCTGAAATGGAAGAGCTTTGTATTGCCGAGACAATTAGTTCTGCTTATTTCTGATGTAATACTTGTGAATCAGTTGAATGGCACTAGGTCTCAAAGATTTAATTTGCAACTCTGTAAGCTATGGTGTAACTCCTCATGCACAGTTAGGGCTCATTATTAAGTCACTAATGGACTTCCTACCTTGGTTTCTTCCTGATACTTTTTTGTAAAAAATATAAAGTGGTAAACTCCAGCTGCCATTTGGACAGGGATATTGCAGCCAGTAAGTGCCTTCATAAGTCCCAGGCACAGTCACAAGGCTTGTGGTACCCCAGAATGAGTGACTACACACTCTGGCAGCCCTAAAGGTACAAATTATGCAAAGCAGAGAGGATGTGGGCCCATGACTGCACCTCACCATTCTCTATTGATAGCATCAGGCAACAGAGCTGGCCAGCTACAGAGAGAAGATCAGGTTTTCACACATACCTTCCCTCTGTGTTCTCTGGAGCATTCAAAGAAAGCACCTTGAGGCTGTTCAGTACCATACCACCCTCTGAGTGGACATATGTAAGTTAGAGTTTGGGCTGGAGTGCTTTTGGGCTAGGATAGCACTCTTTTTTTCTGAGAATGTGAGGATACTCATTAATAGCATAGTTACCAATAATGATTCCTTCCTGAGTCCCAGACATGAACATGGAAGCTGTTTTTGAAGGCAGCAGGAAGTGTCTTATTGCCAAAAATGGAGAAAGGCGAACCTTTCCTCTCTGCAGAACTGGCACTGAGAGGTGGCTTGAACTGGCCATGTGGCCATTAGGGGAAGACGAGATGTCAGTGGGGGAGGAGAGAGAAGATGAACGCTGGCGGGGTGAACGAGGGACTGCCTTGGTCAGCTCTGGTTTCTTGATGAACACCCATTCATATCTCTCCATTTCAGGGCACACCTATAAAACAAGGCAACACATGAGCACTGCAGCATATCCTTTGAATACCTTCCTGCCAAATGATATTAACTGGGTCTGGGTGTTTGGTTGTTTCTGTGGATATCAGAGGTAAGTCCATAAATGATGGCTATTCAGCAGGAGTTAACAGGGCCAAACTCCACCAATGGAGCATTATGGCTACCGCTCTGCAGGCTCTCCCATGGGGTAGTCTCCTTGCTGTATCGAAACTGCTCTAGGTCTGGAGATATCATGGAAGAGATGAGACTGCTTGGTAATAATTTATGAATATTGTGTATTCTGTATGCTTGTCTAACTGTTTTAAGGGGGATTATTGTATGAAGAGTACAGTGGCTTCAGATAGCCATCCCATACTGATAGAGAAAGAACAACACAAAAGTCATTTGCTTTGCTGTTCTGCCTCCAACTCCCCACTGAGCTCATTGGACCAGTTTGTCAAGAGACTGGAGTTTATGCTCCAGAAATCAAGACAAAGGACATATGGGTGAATAAAAAGCAAAGACAGACAGATACTGCGGAGATGCTATTCTCATAGCCACCAACCCCCACTGGAGGATTTGAAGAAACTAGGTCTTCCTAGGCTTTTATCACAGAGGGACAGGACTTAAGTAAGATAGGTGAGAGCGTAAATGATTCTTTTAATATTCTTTTTCTTTTATGTTATGCTTTCTTCCTTCTGTAAAGTTTAAACAATATTTTGGCTTAAGAAGGCTGTTTGGTCTCTTGATACACCACTGACCACAGATTTTCAAATGGAAGAACCATAAGTATTGAATGCAGTGAGTCTGGTTGGGTGATCATGGCAGATCCAGGGGGTGCTCTGGTTCACAGCCTGATATAAGAGTGGTAAAATTATGTGATTTCTTGCCAAGAGAAATGAAGGGATGCAGGCCTGATTGCTGAGAAGGCATGTTCAGAATAGGGAAGGGTATTGCTAGCCCTGTAATTATGACACTGTCTTTGGAAGGGATGATAAATCCTGACAGGGCTGAATCTGCTCCAACCCCCCCAGATTAAACCAGGGATGTCAAATATATGGCTCACGGATTGCATCTGGCTAACTGGTAGTCTGGTGCACTACTGGTGCACACCCTCAGCTCTGTGCTGTGGCATGCCCCTGGCACTGCTGACCGGCCAGAGTTCTGCTGCTGGGCAGTGGCACGGATCCAGGGGTGTGCAGCGGTGCGGAGCTGTGTTTGGCCAGAGCTCCATGCCGCTGCACTTTGCCAGCTCCTTGAGGATGCATGGCCCCGGCTCTGTGCTTCCCAAACACAACTCCGTGTAGCCGCATGCCCCTAGCTCTGCCACTGCCCAGTGGTACTGAACTCTGGTGTGTTGACTGTGCTGGGGCATGCGGCACTGTGACTCCAGGGGGCCTGCAGTGGCATGGAGTCATATTTGGCCAGTGCAGAGCCAGGGGCATGTCTACTGAGGGCATGCAGTGGTGTGGAGCTCTGGACAAACCTGAACCTGCACCACTGCATGCCCCTGGCTCCTTGCTGCAGCTCAGCCAGATCTCCACACTGCTCCATGCCCCTGGTTCCTCAGGGATGCATGCTCCTGGCTGTGCACCCCACAAATGTGCCTCTGTGTAGTCCCACGCCTTGAAACGCATGCTGCTGCCTGACCTGTACCAATACTGCCCCCCAGACATTGTCCCATGGATCTAGCCTGGGAGGAGCCCCTGCAGTCCAAATCCAGCCCGGGGCCCAAAGTGAGTTTGACACCCCCGGATTAAACTCTACATTGCACTACAAGGCTTAATGCACCTTGACTTGAAGACCCGATAGACACTGGGACCTGATGGACCTCTGTTCTCATCCGACACAACAATTTCTCTGTTCTTTTGTATTTTTCCTGTCAGAGGCAAGGGACACTAGTGGAGCTGTGTGAAGGAAGCAGTGATAGTACCTGCTGGCTGTATGCTTTGGTAGTTAACTGCCACAGTGAGAGTTATACGAGAGGTGAAAGCAAATTACCGTAAATCTTAAAACACACAAACTATAAATAAGATAAATGATAAATAAATAAGGTGGGAAATAGAGTAAGACTTACGCTAAAAACAAAGCATTCCCCTGTGCCAAAAAAGCTGGACGTACCCCCACTCCTTTTCCTTTCATTCCAGTCAGAAGAGAGAAACGCACCACACACCTTAAGGAGGGCAGATGAAGAACAATTTAGTTGTCAGTGAATCAGCACAGCAGGGAAAGCATCAACAAGGTTAAACAACAGAAATCACAGGCTAGGAAGATGCAGTGTTGGAGGAGTGGCAACCTTTGATTTACACATGCACACTTATTTGGTTACCCAGATTTGGGCCACATGTGGGAATTCTGAAAGTAGACTATCAGAACTGGGATTCCTGGTTTGGAGCAAAAGGCAGAATTGTGCCCATCAGGTCTACGCTGAAAGGATACTTAACAGCTGCTTCTTACTTAGTTGATCTGCCCCGCTCTGTGTGCCCAGGGCCATAGTGACTAGGCTGTTTCTGCTGCTTTTTGCTCCGTTAGTATGATGATGTGCGCCCATGTACAGGGGTTGGACCCCGTTCCTCTTCATGCATCAGCAGGATTGTTAACTGCATTCCCATCTGTTCCACCCGAGGGCAACAGGACTGCCTCAGGGGCCACTGAGGGCAGAACTGGAAAACAGCAGTGTTGTTCTGGAGTAACTAAAGACCTAATTTGGCCTGAACAGCCCTACCTGCTGGTGGTAATATGTGAGAAGAAAAGAACCTGGCTTGATTCCCAGCTGCCAAGATGAGTTTTTGGATAGAAACAAACAAAAATAAAATAAAATAAAACTTTTGAGCAGATTTGATTTTGTGTTACTGAAAATAGGAATAACTGAGGAAATCCACGATGGATTTCTATTTTTTATGGAATGACTTTTCAGAATGATTTAAACTGTATCGTAGACTAGATCAACAGCTGTACAGGCTGATCACATCAGCAAGCTCCATCCATATTATTGCAACTAATCTGGTTTATACCATATGTGGGTTTGACCCATTGCTTTTTTCATTTCTCTTGTGCAAATGCTTCAGGTTTGCCTGCAGGCAAATTTGGGGAATACTTATTTGTCTATATAAAAGCCTCAGGTGAAAGGTGGTTATTTTTCTAACAAATGCATTACATTAAACTAAAACAAATACATTGCATTACAACATTTTTTAACAGGAGCATGGAAAGGATTTTATGCCTTCAAAATGTGCTAGCAGATCTTTATCATTTTTCTGGTTTTGTCAAGCCATGAGTTGATGATCTTGATTTGACCATGACATGATAATATCTTTTTGAAGCTATGAAACCCTACATGCTAAAATGTGTGTTAATTAAAACTGTGGCTAGCATGGTTTTATAAACTACCTTTGTCTTGTCTAGACAAGGCACTGGAAGGAAGCAAACTGCTTATCCCATTGTCAAGATAGAGGGTCAGATCCTGGGAAACCTGTACCAGTTGGCTGATAAATCTTTTGGATGCCCGAGAGATTTACAGTATCATCTTTCTACCATTTGACCAAGGGTGCAGAGATAAAGTATGGATTTATGAACTGCTCTGAAAAGTCCCTGGGAAGATGCCTGCTTTTTGTTTTTGCACATATTTTACCACTTTCAGATGTTAAGGAAGACATCTCTATTTTTCTTTTCTTTCTCTGGTGTGGCTGTTACTGAAATCAAAGAGGGACACGTTCATTGGAGAAAATGTCCTTCTCCACAGATCCATTTTCTTCCTTATTAATCACCAAAACCATCCACTGATTTCCACCAGGATCAAGGAATTTACTTGATAGAGAATGGCTTTTTTTCCACAGTGCTACTGTAAAGATGCTGCAGCACAGGGATGAATTGGGCCCTGTGTCTATAGGCTTCATGGATGGAAGCTGGGGGAAGATATATTGGGCTATGAGGAAAGTAAGCCATTGAAAGTGTGGCTCAGTGACATAAATATTGCCCTGAAAGGAAGGGGACCCTTGGGCTCAGACTCTGGCCCCTGCTCCTAGTAGTACAGAAGATACCCTGCTACTATTTATCTATTTTATCCAAAAATATTAAATGTTAAGTACTTAAAAGCCACTGAGGCAGGATCCAGAGCCTAGGGCACCTATATAAATAAAAGGCACTTAGATGCATAAAGTGAAACCAGGTTTGGTTCTATATATATATTTTCTGATGTGGAGACGGCTGCTGTAATCCAAGCCTTTGTCATCTCATGATTAAACTACACCCTTCACTGGACTCAAGCTCCCCCCTTCATGACATTTGGGATTTAAGTAGCACCCAATTTCAAAAATGAATGTACATATTATAGTGCTTACCTCCCAGCAGAGGGGCAGGGCAGTAGGAGTCGGGGGATTGTTCAGGCCGGGACAAGCCTGAACCTGCATTTTTCTACTTAGCTTATCTACTTATCTCCTCATACCTTGTGGCACCCTTCAAAGGATCCGGCAGCAACCCTGGTTAGAAAATCAGGGTGTAGAACATATCTGCCTACATATTCATTTCTCTCTTGGACCAATCTGAATCTCCTCATAGTACTCTTCTGTGTTTGGATAATACGGTACTTACTTCCTCCCGTGTTGTTTTTAGGAGCAGTACTGTTGGTTCGTAACCTTCACAGCATGAATAAAACCTGCAGAGATGAGCAAAGTAAACCGATTGATGTGAGCTTCAAACTGAGGAGAGACCTACCTGATTTGATAGTTACACTAGGGCACTCAGTAGAGAGCCCATAAGGTTGCCATGTTCCTTTTTACAGTACCGGGGCAGTATATTTATAAAGACCCATTACTGGCTGATGTATCAACTCTCCGTGAGTGCTCCTTTGATGCAATCCTTCAAGCATTAGAATATGATCTTTTTTATTGGCTGGTAATTCTCAGATCTCTTGATAGGGCAGGCAATTGTCCAAATAGGTTAATATACATTATCCGGTTAGAGCAGTTCCAAGGTCTAATGGTCACAAACTGCTGGAAGACCGTTTTAGACTGGACATAAGGAAAAACTTCTTTACCGTCCAAGTCTCCAGAGTCTGGAATAGACTCCCCCCAGAAGTGGTGCAAGCACCTACTCTGGATACCTTTAAGAAATACTTGGATGATTATCTTGCTGGGATTATGTGGCCCCAGCTGACTTCCTGCCCCTGGGGCAGAGGGCTGGACCCGATGATCTTGCAAGGTCCCTTCCAGTCCTAATGTCTATGAAATCTATGAAATCTACTTGCTCCTGTTTTTTGTCTTGGACCTCCTGGGCTGCATTAGTGGTGTACCCTGATGAGGACCTCATCTCAAACTCAGCTTGCTATCCTGGACTAGGACTGCTATCTGGTGGACCCTGGCTTACACTCCAGGAAACCCCTGATCTAGCGCAATCCACTTGAACTGACTGGCTACAGCCTAATGATCCCTTACAGTGGTGGAGGGCAGACTGCTTGACTTGTGAGATTGGAGCACCTATCATTAAATGGGGCTCAGCCTCCCATTGTTGCTCACTATTGCAACCATGGGGTGCTCCTGCGTCCTCTCCAGAAGTAGATCTCCAGGTGGTGGTGGTCGCTATAAGGCCTTTTATCAACTCCACCTGGTAAGAGGGCTTTCTTTCAGATTCAGATCTGGCCACCATCATTCATGCCTTTGTAACCTTGAGATAGAGCTGCCCTGCTATGCTTCTGGATCATGATGAGGCAAAAGGGAGAAGGCAGTCCCCTACGTACTTAGGGCCCTGACCATTTAGTGCCTGATAGGTCAAAATCATCACCTTGAACTGTGCCCAGAAAGTTACTGGAAGCCAATGCAGAGTCTGGAGCATAGGAGTTATGTGCTCTTGGAGACTCACCCCTGCTTGCTTGGTAGTTTTGTTCTCTTGTTTTGTTTTCTTGTACATTCCCTTGTTCTATAAGCTGTTTTACTCTCTTCTTGTAAATGGCCAGGAACTTTGCTGGGAAGGGCAGTACATAAATCTAATAAATAAACAATAAATAAAATGCCTGGTGCCCTCAGCACGTCCTGCCCTGCTTATAGTTCAGGAAAACTGCATTTAATCTTGTTGATGGACTATAGAGTCTCAGGTTGGCTAGAAGGATACAGCATTAGGGAGCTCTGTCTACACTTAGAATCACATTGTCAATCATTAGCACTTTACAAACATTTGAAACACCCTTGTAAGGAGTGAGCATAGCCACTCCTATTTTTCATATGTGAAAGCTGCCATTCAGAGGTTAAGGTCACAAGCGGAGTACCATCAAACCCAGGACCAGTCAAAGGAGCCTCTATTCTGGGAGCTCTCCCCAAACCATGAAGCTAACCTGGAAGTGCAGCTGTTCCAGTAGAGAAGAAAACAAGATAATCTCAATGTCAGCAGAACTGGGAGGAGAGGGGGAAAGAACGGAGCACTTAGACGTGTATGCCATTGGTCAGGAAACACTATCATGAACTGCAAGATCAAAGGTTCAAGGATCTGTTTGGCTACTGGAATTACTGAGCCCAATATGCAACACACACGGCACAGACCTGTGGTGGTTACTGATGATAAGGGTAACAATGATGGATGGAGTCACTGAAAGTGCATGCTGCCACTCTTACGCTAAGCAGGCTTTCAGAAGGTGCTGCACTCCATTTTCTCCACAGCCATACCTATATTTTTTAATCAGACTTTGCATTTTCCCCCTTTTCACTTTTTCTGGGTTGTGGCAGATAGTGCTGTATCATTCCCTGTTGGGTTTCTGTGGGGTTTTCACTGCCGTTGTGGAAACAGGGGCCATCTTGTTGAAGATTAGATGTCCCTTGGGTTACAGTTTTAACATTTTAAATCCATGGGCTAGTAGTGTAACTAGAGGTGGGCAAGCAGGGCACCAACTTAGAGGGGGTGCTGGATGGCAGTCTCCTGGGGAGTCTTTGATGTAGCAGCAGCAGCCATGGGCAGCCAGCCAGCCAGGTCTTCGGTTCCCCTGGG